CATAAAGACATGAAACACATCAGATTTGCGCTTAGTAAGATAAATCCAAGTAAAGCGACTGAAAGCATCGATGAAACTGACATAATAGTTGTGACCACTGACAGAAGTTTGGGCATAGCCCCACACATCTGAAAACACAAGTTCGGGAGGAGTCTTGACAACACGACTCGATACAGAAAAAGGCAACTGATGACTCTTGCCTTGTTGACAGGCATCACACACTACAAACTCCTTATTACTCGACTCGACAGGAAGACTATGACGATGAAGCACATGGCGCACAATGGGAGTGGCAGGATGACCAAGGCGAGAATGCCACTGCGACGATGACACCCGAACACCACTGAAAACTTGAGGAACTCGTGCATGGACTCGTGGCACATCAAGCGCATATAATCCATCGCGAGCTCGACCACTAAGTAGAACGTCCCTCGTGTCCCGGTCCTTAACAAAAAAATGGAAAGGGTGAAACTCAACAAACACATTGTTGTCACGAGTTAACTTAGGAACTGAGAGTAAACTACGTGTGACTGAAGGAACACGAAGGACATCAAGAAGACGCAAGGTTTTAGTGGTACGTGAAAGAAGAGATGCCTGACCAACATGTGAGATGGGCATACCTGATCCATTGGCAATGCGGACCTGATCATGACCGGTGTAGGCCTGGCGAGTGGCCAGCTTGTCAAGCTGGCTCGTCAAATGGTCCGTGGCGCCTGTGTCCATATACCATGCAGGGTCCACCGAGTACGAAGGAGTGAACCCAGGCTCCTGTGTGGCGAGAGCAGCTTGCTTCTCGTTACCCTTCCCATTGTTCCCGATGCCAAGGAAATCACGTTTGAAGCGACGATGACAGCGAGACGCCAAGTGCCCCTCAATGCCACAAAGCTGACACTCAACCCCACCCCCACATGCCTCACAGTGTAGCCGCTTGCGGCCAGCCGTCGGAGGAGGTGGAGCGGGAGGACGGGGCTGGTAGCCCGTGGACGGCGGCGCCTTCTGCTTGGCACCACGGGCACCCCCGCGGAGAGCAGCGTTCGCAGAGGGACCCTCCGTGTAGACGCCAACGGAGCGACGGGCAGCAAGCCGCTGTTCGGTGTTGAGGAGGCGCGCGTAGAGATCGCGAGGCGGCATCGGGGTGTCACGTCCGTTGATGTTTTCAACAAGAGAATCATAGTCCTCATCAAGCCCATTGAGAATGAACGAAGTAAACTCCTCATCACGAAGAGGCTTCCCAATAGATGACAGTGTATCGGCCAGACTTTTGACCTTGTTGAAGAAGGTCGTGACGGAGAGATCATTTTTCTTGACCTCACCCAGCTGGTTACGAATGGCAGAAGAACGTGCCAGCGACTGCGATGAGAAGCTGGAATCGAGGGTGGCCCATGCATCCCTCGACGTCGCGGAAAAGACCACCATGCCAGCCACGGAATGAGTGAGCGAGGACTGAATGGCACTCAGAATAGCCTGATCCTGAGCGATCCACCGATGATGAGCAGGGTTGGTCAC